CACAGGAGAAGTCTCCTTACCAGCAACATAGAAATATGATATGCTCTATTCCCAAGCCTCTCACAAGTAACAACATTTTTGAGCTTACAATATTTATAATCGGTCAAAATTCAAAATTGAAAGGGTAAGATAATACGTGAATACCCTCAACAACTCAGTCTCAAGGTACTGCTCCCTAGAATGATGATCGTTGCACTTGCTTTTTTGCTTACTCATTATTGTGTCGTAGGAAAAAAAACCCCAGAAACCTTGCGACGTCACACCGCCCCGGAAGTCCCAAGGAACCCAAAACTTGTTCATTTCTCGCGACCAGGGTACCTTTAACCTTTCCTTGGACCAAAACCACTAAACCTTAGACCAACGAAAGATATGCCACTAGTGACTACGGTCAGCAAGACAGTCAAGCATAGACATGTCCAAGTCAACTCAGAAGTAAAATACATCTTGATTTATTAGCTAAAAAGGAACTTTGTGACGTGTAGCACAGGGTTGTGTACTTTCCAGGGAGGGGAATGGCTATTTGAGCATTTATGGGCCTGGTGTGCAATGACTGTGACCCAGCACATTGAATTGAACACCAGTAACGATGGATATGAGCGCACAATAAACGGCCATTATTATTATAAAATGTTTCAATGAAACACGGTTTATGGAGGCCGCTTTATGCGAGCGGTTGCTTGACCTCAGCCTCATAAACCACCCTCAAAAAGCCCTTAGAAAAATAACTCACCTCTGTCACTTTCTCTGATTCACTGACTCCAAACGCGGGAACAATGTTTCAAATTAAAATGGAGATAACCACTCTTCTGAATGTTTTATTGCGAAAGATATCGAGTTTTGAATGCACGTATTACCTTGAACACATCGTGATCCTATCGCTCGGTAATGTTTTAACGTTAAGAGTATCTGTACATGGTACAGGTCATGTTTTGTCTTCTTTTTATAAGCTAAAAAGGACACCCTGTCAGGACACAATATCATGCAGCAGCTTCCACAGAGCAGATTTAGCAGCCCTTAAAACGTATACAAATACTGCAAGTATTGGACAGGCGCCCAATTCAGTGACAGTGGTCTTTGGTCACTCACTTCGTCGAGTTAAATTGTCAACAAATACTAAGTTGCCGCGGCGAGATAGAAATTCCAGTAATTGTATTTGCTTTACCATATATGTTCAGTAAGAATATCTCTACTTCACTTTCGACCACGACTATACATTCAGGCTTCTTACAAAAGGTGTACACTCGCTCGTTGTAGTCGTTGGTTTTCACAGCGTTAACGCGCGCTGTTTCGTAAGTCAAATTGAAAGATGGGGATTCGTTTTTGAAATACAAAATCACCCCCCCCCAACACACAGGGACTCGAGTTTTTCAAACGCAGCTGCATTAGGCAAACTAAGCCTTGTGCTGAGATGTCATCTAAGTCTCGTCCTTCAAACAACCAAAGGCAAACTATAAACGCTGTTTACAACCGCTTCGAAGGTTGAAAACCTCCCCGAAGGGGTTGCTCAAAAACCTTATAAGTTGGCCTTTCCCTGTGTGACTTCGCGTAGGTGAGTTAGTTCTCAGTTATAAATACTAGTAGCTCGAAATGCGTGCATGGTGAGGTCCCAGACATGAAACGTGATCCCACTTCACTTGCAAAATGTGTGCACGTCACTCCAGTGTTGGTTTTTGATTGGCTAGTCATTAGTTTACGCCCAGGAGTTCCCGAGCACCGAAAGCCTTTGGACCAGATGCGCTCACTGTTCCGTCTTGACGACTGGTTGACTGCATATTACGTTCCGGCCCTTTCGAAGCTTACGCTGATATTTACCTTGCAACATGGGTAAGAACCTTTTAAATTACTAAAGGGTGAATCTAGAGCCCTATCTTCGTGAGCCATTTTTTAAATATACCTTTACGTCCTTTCTGAAGGGTACGGCTATAACTTTGGGATATGCGCTTCCATAAACAATTAATGGAAAAGGAAACAATTACCTAATTTATCGTTTCTCTTGTTACCATTATTATTTCTCTCGTTATTTTTCACAGAAAAATATAGCTTGAGGCAAATATCATTTTGAATCTGAATGCAATCATCATTTGAAATTGAATGCAAACAGGAAGCGTATGGTACCTTATCAGCGTCTGCTTGGTTTGAGGGCATATGTACATTTTCGTCCAAAATGTTTTATGGTATGACTGAGATTTTACTTGCAAGCAAGGTACGCTCTACTAACACAGATTAATACGACGATGCACTGACGCAGCGCATTGCTTAACTTTCTGTCCATGCAGCAACGGACTGAGATACTCTTTGTTTCGATTAAATTGAGGATCTTCAGGTGAGACAAATACAATAAAAAATTCACGACAAAATAATAACTGCTGCTAGGAGTCCTTTAGGTAATAACGTCATGACTAACATCGATCACAGCAGTCAATATTGATTATTAAATAATATACGAATTAAAAAATCCTCTCCCGCGTAATTGTGAGATCAAAATCAACAAATAGAAAATATTGATTCGACTGTGTTATAAGATGTCAATCGATGATTAAAAAGTGACAATTTGGTGGAAACAAACGAAAGAATGGTGGCATTGAGCAGAGCAAACAGAAACCTGTGATGTAGAAGGGCTCCGTAAACGTATGGTAACATGAAGTCCTTTGTACTTAAACTTGACATATCCATGCTATTGACCATTGCTTATTGTGCTCTGCTGTCGACTGTTTCACAGTCCTTATCCACAAGATTTGATCAAAACAAAACATGCAAATAAACTAATCAAACCCCAAACCTTCCCTGCACTTGCGAAAATCACGCTGGAGACTTTATATGGTGTATCTTGTAGCAATAAGATTTTGCAAATTTCTCATTTTAAGCTTGAGGTTCGAACAAAAGCTTACAATCCCTAAAGCTATTGTCGGCTGAATTGAGGTGGTTAGTCTTGTATATACCGACTGATATCTTCTGTCTCTCAGACTTGTCAAAGTTGCTTCCCTAATTAAAAAAAAAAACCTTCGTTAGATAAACAAACGGGTAGTTGCACTCTACATACACCACTGATATTGACGAGGAGATTTGACCTATTTCTCTTTTTTTTGCAGAAGGGAAACTTCTGTTCGTTCTTCTGGTGGTTGCTTCAGTTTCTGGAGGTGTGTTCTCTATTTTATTTCTTTAATCTAATACTAAATTAATCCATGATTGATTTGTGGATGGACCACTACACGCCCCGTAAACATGTGTGTGTGTGTGGGGGGGGGGTCAAAATCTATATTTGGTTTGGCACGTCACGTAGACTGCATTTTTGGCCCAAAGACGTCAAGCTGTTGGTGACCCAACCGTCATTGTTGCTATCAGGGAAAGTTGCAGAAGTTTCTCATGTTTGTATTTGTGTGTTACAGATAATACATTATTAATCTGCAGTGAATGCGATCTCAAGAAACATTCATTAAGCAGAGTGCAAGAGGACGGTGCATTAATGATGCGCTCAGGTGAATCACAACCACGAGATTCCATAGCTCACCACTTTTAGTTCTTGAGAATATCTGCGTGTAGACAATACCCTCTCGTTCACAACCTGTGCAAAAGGCAATATTCTTTGAAAAAAAAATTACAAAAGAATGTTTTTCATCTTTCAGTATACATAAGGCTTTTTGATATTCAAGATATGGTAAAATCAAAGATGTCGGGGCCACGAGTAAGGCTTTTGATACTTTTCTCTCCCCACATCATGTTTAATAAGGCAGAAGCCACATTTACTTTTGTATTTGCACCCCCTACACACATACACCAAAAGATGCATTCGCCGCTGCATGAGAGTCAGAGGCTGGAAATCGTATGACAATGGGGGCGCTATTAATTAATGATCTGTCGCATTAGTAATTCACAGTTTCACTTTGTATTAAATGTAGCTATATTCATAACAAACTATCATGTAAAAAACCCGAATAAGGATTGCTACTAGCATCAAAAGCATAAGTTGAAATTCTTTCAATCAGGATGCTCCCGACGAGTTTTGTTTTCAGTTTGAAAACAAAACTCGCCGGGAGCATCCAATGAAAGCTTGTTTCAATGACGTCACACTACGGCTCTGCACTTGTTTCATTGTCTCGGGGCCATAATTATTATAGAATAAAAAAGACTAGATCGACAGTGCGTGTTTACGCAAGGTCTTGTCGGGAGGGTCACGTGCTGGATGGCAGTGGTAATTCGCTGAGAATGACCACCGAGGAAACATCAGATGGCACATAGTTGCCAGGCTTCAAAATCATACCTACGTCTTTACTGAATAATAACTAAGCTCAGTGGGCCGATGCATAATGCAAGCACAAACAGTTTTATTCGCTGCAAACATTTGCGATGGGTCCGCAACCAGATAGCCCGTTACGGCCGCAAGTATTAAACTCTTGGGCGCGTATTTTGACATCATCAAATCGCTAAATATTGTTTGCCGCCCATAGGCTTATTTTTATTTTTACTCTGAGCTTTCTCGCGGTGGAACTGAACTCCCCAAATAACGATTTTTTAATGTATAAATGTGAGGAGGTGCTACTACTCAGTCAGTATATGGGAATCAATTATCAATTGTCTGTTTAATAACCTTTTCGGGTTAAAGCAATGTGACTCACCCTTAACCTAAGTTGATAGTAAAGGTGGACGGTGACAAAAGTAACAAGTGAAAAGTTCAGATTTTCTATAAGAGTTGAGGTCACATTTAAGGGTGCACTCAAGGCGAGTGATTATTATTTTTTGGTCATATCGTGAGTTTACAATACATTTGCTGATAGCCGTGTGTTGACACAATGGGAAAAACACTCTTCGCGCCAGCCTTAATTACGGACTCCTGAAATAGCATTGCATTGTAATAAATGAAAGGACGATACAATATCAATGCAGTTCTTCCTTTGTGTCCCATTTAAACCCGTTTTCTTGTTTTGGACATTGTAAATGCATCTTGATATCTATATTAAGTAAGTTTAGTTTAGTTTAAGTTTAGTATTAANAATAAAAAAATAAAAACATGTTTGAGGGGTGACCAACACGCCCCGCCTATCTCCTCATTAACATAAGAATGTGTGACGTAAACTCCGGAGATCGGCATACTTTCCCGGTTATACGTGGCAGCTTGATCGGCAGCGTCACACGCACTTCTTGTAAAGTTTCTTGAGATTTTCGCCGCACTCCTTCACGAAAATAACGTAGTTTTTCGGAATGCCACCGACCTGTATTGTTGCTGGCTGCAGCAACACTACCAAAGATGGTTTTAGTCTGCATCGGTTTCCATCTGACCCGAAATTTCGACGAATTTGGACGGCCAAAGTGAAGCTGACCCGAGCCAAGTGGTCAGGACCAACCGAGCACTCGGTGATCTGCTCCGCGCACTTCGAGCCTTCTTGCTTTGATCGAAACCCCAACGATCAACAACATCAGTTTGGGATTAAGTTCAAGGCAATGCTTCGTCCCGATGCTGTGCCCACAATATTTCTAACAAGCAAGAAAAGCGAGCCGGTACTGGAAGAGAAGAGGAAGGGTGCTTTTGCAAAACGCGAGCGACTCCGAGTAAGTTTTATCGTTTCTCACTTGTCATGCATGCACGTACGTTAGTTTCATCATCGCATGGTACATGCGTTTTGCAGGTGATCGTTTTGCACACGTTTCGTTAGGCAGGGTACACTTCATGTACAGTGTGCGCGCGTGTACGTGTGTACCGGTCACGTTGCTACCGGGTGGGTGCGTAAGTGTACATGTACATGTATGGTACATATCCCACCACGTCGTGGGCTTACACGCACATGCGTGTACACGGATACTTGTACATGTACATGTACATGCACAGATCGCCATGAAAACACGTACTTCACAAATGACAACTATTCGCACTGCACACTCCACGCACTGTCCATGCTGGCGACTGCCCAGAATTCGATTTTGGTTGTTTATTCTGTTGATCTTAAAGCTAGAAATACTGTGCAGAAATAGAAACCCACTTCAATATTTGTACATTTTGATAGGCTAATGATGGGGCAGGGTTGAAATCGGTCGACACTCAACACTTTCTGTTGACACAAATCTGGTCACTCACTGATATACAAAGTGCAGTTCTTTTTCAATCAGCGTAAACCTTGCTGATCGTGCCGTGAAGCTGAGAAGCAACAATATCATTAACTATACGGTTTCTGTCCCTTTTTGTTTCTTTTGCTTTTCAAAAAATTTTTCACTGTTATAAGCACAACTGTGGTAGTTTGAAAATGACACTCGTTTTACTGAACTATTCCTCCTAAGTCCTATTCATTTTAACAAGGACTAATTTTAGCATGGAGCTATAAAAAGGATTTTATTTAATTTGTTCTTCACTGGAAACTGCTATCAGGTTATGGAGGATGTGCTTCCACGGAAGCAAGCCAGAACAGAGAGTGACCAAGTTGGACAGGTTGAAGATAGAACCTTGTGCAGAGAGAGTGTGCCAGACCCAGAGTCTTTTGCCAGTTCTAGTAGCATGATTCCAGTTGTGTCGGTAAGTCCATCACAATCATGTGCTCCTTTCAACTATTGTTGAACATTCAAGAGGAACAAATGGGTATTGTTCTTTCAGTATTTTCTTTGGAAATGTTTTTTTAATAAGTTTCAATTTTTTTTTACATGTGCAGACGGTGGATGCTGCTTGTCAGACTGATCCAGTGAAAATTCTTGGTTGTGATATGCGTAAGTATCAAACTGCATTGGAAATGTATATTTTTGTTGTCATCTTAATTTACAAAGGGCATTTTTTTCTTGTTATTCTGTGTTCTTGTTCTAGTCATAGTTCATGATAAACAACGAATTTATTCATTTTTTCTGACAGATACTGATGCCGGAATACAAGCTGTTCCCGAAGTCGATGAAGCTGGGATACTCTGC